AATGTTCATATCACTTGACACATTATTTTTTTCTGCATCTTTAGGTCATGTGGTTTTTGGCCTTTATTAATAAGGTCTGTGGTTTTGGGCCTTTATTAATAACTTCAATTGATTTCTCTGTGTTCAACTGGCTTTACATTCCTGAGACAAATCCCAATTGGTTATGGTCATAATACTGTGTGTATGTTGCTGGATTCCATTTGTTAATGTTTTAATTTGTTAGCGTTTTTACTGCTATTCATTTTCTTGTGATGTCTTTTCCATCAGGGTGATACTAAGTCTCAAAGAATGAGTTGATAGTCGTTCTCTTTTGCTTTTTTAGAAGAATTGGTGAAGTACTGTTGTGAGTTTATCTTTAAACCTTTAATTGAGTTCATCGGTGAAGGCATTTAGCTGCTGGTTTCTCTATGGGACTGTTTATTATTCTTTCTAATTTAATCAGTTCATTTGCTGCAGGATTTTCCTGCTCTATTTTGTGCCTGCCATGAAGTAATTCCACAGGTTGGGTATTTGGCGTGAATAGAAATGTGTTGACCCATAGTTCTGGAGGATATGATATTTAAGATCAAAGCTCTGGCAGCTGATGAAGGGTTACTTCTTCATGGAGTGATGGAAGGGCAAGGAGAAGCCTAGAAAGACAAACACACACAGAACTCTTTTTCCTTTTGTCTCTCTCTCTCTTCTCCACCCCCCCCCCCTTTTTTTTTAATGAAGAACTCATTTCTCTGATTCAGGGAATTAATCACTTCATAATGGTAGTGCTCCCATAACCTAAAGACCTCTTAAAAAAATACTCCTTTGCTCTTCACTCCACACCTGCATGTTGGTCATCAAATGTTCCAACATGAAAACTTCAACCACATTATTATTTTTATCATTTTTATACTGTGTTAGTTACACTAATTTGCTTTTCTAGGAATTTGTCTCTTTCATCTGGGATATCCAGTTTGATATTCTGTGTTTTTTTTTGAAAGGCTTATCTATTTTTTTTTTTAAAGGCAGAGGTGTAGAAAGGCCTTCCATCTGCTGGTTCACTCCCCAAATAACTGCAGTGGCTGGAGCTGAGCCCAGCTTAAGCCAGGAGCTCCTTCTGGATTTCCTGTGTGGGTAGAGAACTTGAGCTGTTGTCTGTTGCTTTCCCAGACCACAAGCAGGGAGCAGGATAGGAAGTGAAAGTGACCAGGACATGCCCATGTTGGATGCTGGCACTAGCAGGCATAAGATTAGCCAGCTGACCCATTACACTCACCCCCAATGTTCTGCAATTTTTATAGTTCCCTTTATAAACTATTTATTTAAATTCAGTAATATTGTCTGTTGTTGATCCTTTTGTCTGGCTGAAGTTTTTCAGTTTTATTGATCTTTTCAAAGAATTTACTTCTATGTAGTTGATTTTTTTTTTCTAATTATTTCTCGTGTGATCTTTATTGTTTCATTCCTCAACTTACTTTGAGTTTAGCTAGATCTTTTTCTAGGTTTTTAAAGTGGTAGGGTAGGTTATTGATCACAGGTCTTTCAAAAAATTATCTACTTTTATTTGAGGCAGATGTACAGATAGTAAGGGGAACAGAGAAAGAAATCTTCAATCTGCTGATTCACTCCCTGAATGGCTGCAGCAGCCAAAGTTGAGCTGATCTGAAGCCAGGAACCAGGAGACTCTTCTGGGTCTTCCACATGGGTATAGGTTCCCAAGAGCTTGAGCCATTCTTCACTATTGCTCCAGGCCACAAGCAAGGAACAAGATTGAAAGTGGAATAGCCACACACAGACTGGTACCCATGTTGGTGTCAGCACTGCAGGAGGAGGAGTTAGTCTTTACCATTGTGTTGTCTCCATGATCTCAGGTATTTTTATTTTATTTATTTATTTTTTAAAGATTTACTTATTTACATTGGAAAGGGAAATTTACAGAGAAAAGGAGACACAGAGAGAATGATCTTCCATTTGGTGGTTCACTCCCCAAATGTCTACAATGGCCAAACATGAGCCAGTCTTAAGCCAGGAGCAAGGAGCTTCTGCTGGGTCTCCCATTGAGTGCTTTGGACCCAAGGCTTTGGACCATCCTCCATTGTTTTCCCAGACCACAAGCAAGGAGCTAGATGGGAAGTGGACCAGCTGGGGCATGAATTGGCACCCACATTGGATCCCAGCAGGTGCTTGGATATGGGAGATTAGCCTTCTATGCCTGGCAGTGATGATACCCTGTGTTTTTGGCTATGGGTTTATGTCTCCTCTCCCCCAGCACACCTGTATTAGTTTCTTACAGGAGTATTTCGAGACCCAGTCACCCAAGTGTCAGTGTTGGAAGGTAGAATCAAGGGGAAGGTATTCCAATTAGGTGATAGAGTGCTTGTTAATACCTGCTCACAGAATGGTGCATATTTTAAATAGTGACAATGATATATGTATGTGCTTGCTTGACTCCTGACTTTATCTCTTCAAGCACTTTCTACATTGCATCCTCCTACGTAATTGCGTGTAGTGGATAATGGATAGACCTTTAAAGAAAGTACTCTATTCATTTTTCTTATACTGGCTGCTGTTACTTTAGTCATTGTCTCCTTTTCCTCATCCCTTTTTTCCTCCACGCCATCACATTTTCAGCTTTCTTTAGGCAACCAATGCTGACAATAGTGACCCTCGTATGCAACAGTAAGGCTAATTTTTTCTAATCTGGTTGGCTGAGAGCTGTCAAGAAGGGCATTCTGCCCCGGAGCAGGCTGACATTATCATCAAGAAAGTAATTTCAGGTGTTTGTGGGTGTTCCAAGAAACTGATTTCAGCTCTAAGGGTGTGGGTGATGAGGTGTGTCTCTAATGGTTTCCTGGTGTCAGCATTTGCACCTTAGTTCTTAGCTGAAACGGAACCACTTCTCTCATTTGTAATGCCTCTGCTTCCTGTTTTTACTCTCTTTCCTGCCACGAGTGGCCAAGCTGTCTTGGAACTGGAGTTCAGCTTGGGAAAATGAATGATACCGATGTTTAAGAACTTAAAAATCTGATATTAGAAAATAGCAAGAAGAGTGAGAACAATAAATAAAATAAATAGTTGGGACCTTTATCTTATCAATTTCCTAGATAACCTATGCCTGAGAGATTATTTTGCCTGATGATATATAATATTCTTTTCTATTAACTAATACATCTGTTGTTTAACCTTATTTTTGTTTCAGAAAGGCAATTTAAAAGAGAAAAAAATTACAGATTTTAGAAAAAGAATAAAGAAAATTCATTATTAAAGATATAAAGCTACACAAAAAGTAAGAATTTAGCAAATAACCTGGATAGACATATTAATATACAGTTATACAAACATCTGTATAACATCAACAAAAAACAGAAACGTTTTGCAAGGAGATACAGTTTAACATAACATTGAAAATACAAAGTTCCTAGGAATAAAGACAACAAAAGAGACATGTAAAATTCTTGTGGGAAAAGCCTTAATGTGTGACAGTAAGAGCCCAATTAGTGAAGTCACATGCATATTGGTGGCTTGGGAAACTCAGTTCCGAACCAGTGTGACTCATATGATCCCAAATTCCTAACTCTTTCGGTACTGGATAGATAGTATTTTGACAAGAGGCACTGACATGGAAAGACAAAAGGTCAGCAGCCGGGACAGCTGTGCATCTTGGTTTCTGGACAGCAAATAGTCCCAGACTGACAGTGTTCCTGGCATCACCAGAGACCTGTTCGGAAATGCAGAATCTTGGGTCCCCACCCAAAACCAGCTTCGTGAGAATCTGTGTGAACAAAATCCCAGGTGACCTTTAGTATCTTCAGAGATTTTTAAACTGATAGCTAATAAAATTTGTATCTAAATAATAGTAGAGTTGTGACACAGATACCAAAAGCCAGGAATCTATTTTTAAGAAGATTGCCACGAAAAGTAGGGAAAAGGGTGATTTTATACACTCAGGAACAAAAGAGTAACTAAACATAAAAAAAGTACCTGGACTCAATCGCATTGCTGGCTTTAAATGGTGTGGACTATTTTTTACTTGTTTTGAGTTACATTGCTTCAGGTGTGATCAATTTTTAGTGAAAATAAAGGGACTTTTAGATACGCCTTTTTTCTTGTTGTCCATGTGTGTAAAATCTATGAGTGGGATCCACGTTTGACCTAGTAGTAATGATGCCTGTGTCTGGGACGACAGGCAGAGTGGTTAAGACACCACCTGAGTGCCTGCTTCTCATATTAGAGTGCATGGGTTCAAGTCCTGGCCCCTCCTCTGATTCTAACGTTCCTGCTGATATGCTCAGAAGGATAGTGCAGGGGACAGCTCGTAGGGGAGTCTTCATTTCTGAGCTTCTGGCTTCCCCCGATCACCATGGCTGTGGTGAACATTTGGGAAGTAAGCAGATGCAGGAGGGGAAAACCTCTCTGCCTTACAGATCAATAATGTAAGAAGAAAATACTGATATCCCATAGAGGAGTATTTGGATTCAACCTCCAACTCTGGTTCCTGATTGCAGCTTTCTATGCTTTGGGTGACAACTGGTAATGGCTCAGGTTGTTGGGTCCCTGGCATCCACGTAGACTGGCCAGAATCAGGGTCCAGCTCCCGACTTGGGCCTGGCAGCCCCAGCCACACAGCTATTGTGGGCATTGTGGGGACAAGCCAGCAGATGGGAAATATCTGCCTCTCAAAAATGTATGCAAATAGGTAAATAAGTGAACAAAATGTGTGGGTGATCTTGTTAATAAGCTTTCTTGAGTAATCTGTCTTGAGGATGTCTGTGTATTCCCAGCTTGCTTTCTTCACAGCTCAAACCAGTATATTGCAATACCCTGAAAATATTCTCACCTCTGATGTACATAAAAATGCAATGGACATGTCCTCACCTCCCCCCCCCCCCACTGTGGCACTGATAAAGTCTCATTCAATTGTTTTCTAGGTACATTTATATATTTTGGAATATATTCTTGCTGAAGACTCAAAGGAAGAAATTTTGTCTACTGAAACTCAAAAGGAAATAATTTTCTACTGGCTTAGGATTGGAAGACTGGCTCATCCTTAGACTCTTCTGAAATAAAATTAGGTAAGAAATGTTTTTCTTCAAATTTTGAATAATTTGTGCCCTGCCTATCCAGTTGCCTTGATGGCTTCTCTAATTCTGTCCCTTTGGCCTCTCAGAGAATATAGTTAGCGTTTTTCCTTGAGCAAGTCAGCGTGCCAGCCTGCTGTCAGCCTTGTGATGTACCTGAGCTCCAGTGTCATGGGAAGCACAATTCAATTTTAAAGCGAGTCTGCCACCCGACAGTGCAGTAGGGCTGCCAGCATCTCTCCATATGATTTCTTTCTATGAAAGCCCTTATTCTGAGGAGTATAGTTTTATTTGTGATTCTTTCCTAGGAGATGGCACCCGTCACTAACTGACTTTCCTTGTCTTTCGTTAAAAATCAATGAATTGAATGAAATCAGCGGTACTTGCATTACCCTCTCTGGCTTCAAGAAAATAAAACGCCCCTGCCTGTTGAAGTCGTGACTTGTCTAGCCGTGCCGCAAGGCTTGACTCTTAACGCACAGCACTCAGACTCCGAAAAGGAACTGTGACAAGTTTAGTCAAAAGGGAAACAAGGAATAATTTATAAAAGGCACTGCAGATAATGATGCCAGCCAGGTATTTTAAAATGCATCCACATCACCTTTTAATGAATTAGATTTGTCAACAGCAAATGTTTTATGCACTACTTCTAATGAGAGTGGCATGCCAGGAGCGCCGTGCTTTGAGGTGAACTTCTTCAAAGCTTCAGAATCTCTTCAACTCAGAGATTTTTTTTTAAATAATAGATATTTAAAAGTATATTTAAATAATATTAAGGTTGTGACACAAACACCGAATGACAAAATTCAGGAATTTCAAAGCAGTGGCTGACATGCCATCAGTATCTGTTTTTAAATTAGGAATCTAACAGACTGATTTGGAGGGTGTGTGTCGATTTAACTTTCAGTTCTCTTGTTGTTTTGGTTGGTGTCACAACCTTAATGTCAACTTTTCAAATAGGGTTTCTAGATTTGCTTTGGTTTGGGGTCATTAAAAAATGCATATGATAAATGGAAAAGGCATAAATAGGTCACAGCTCAGTAGAATTCTTGCTTCCCTGGAGTGGAACAACAGTTAATACCTACCATGTAGGCTTGAAAAGTTAGCGCAGGCATTTTCAGTAAATTTTTGTTTTTCAAATACTTGTTTCAAAACAATGTAAATAACAAGACAGCACGCTGGTAGAATCCTGTTTACCCTCTGTTCTCCTTACACCTCTAATGCTAACAGTTTCATCTTGGTTATCATCTCCATAAATATTAAGGATCACAGTTTTGACAATTGACTTGTTTTTCTGTAAAAGCACAAGTTTTAAATTTGATGTGAAGAATTGAAACAGGGCAGGATCTTCATCTGTTGCAGCTGAGTGCAAGTAAATCCTGCCTTGTAAACTTCCGTATGGTACTCCTTCACATAAAGCCTCTTCATGTAGATTTTGGGGAGTAAAATTTATTTTTATAGGTAGCATTTGCCAGAGAAGATAAAGATGTAAAATAAAATTTGATGCGTTATGCATTTGTGAGATAATTCTAGTATCCCGCCAGACTTTTAAGGGAGCAGCTGGCAGCATTCCTTTTCCCCCGAGTGCCTGTGAAGGTAGGGGAGGGAACAATTCAGTAGCCCACGTTCTCCTTCTTTTCCTTTCTCTTGTTTTGATCATAGAGGTCATATCTGTATTTCTTCAGTTGATTCTCACTTTAATTTAGAAAAGTAAGCATAGTAGCAATTGCTTCCTAATTTTATTACCCACGTCAAGGATCTGATGTGAAAGAATAGGAAAATTATGGACCTTTTTATTTTTTTTGCTGTTTCTTACATGTATTGACCAGCTATAGGCATGCGCTCAGCTTCTCCTTGCTCAAGCCACCACCCCTTCTCATGTTGGAGTTTTATCAATGAGTGAAAGACAACTAATGTTTTACAGTTGCCTATGAAGGCAAACTGTAAAAGGCAAACTCCAAACGAACAGTGTTGTTTGTGAATAAATTTTTAAAAATTATTGTTTTACTAGTAACTAGTTCTGATACCTGTATCCTAAAAATGGATGTTTTAAACAAAAATGAGTGCTCCACAATTCAGAGGAAGCCGTTCAACTAAATAAATTAGAACTCTGTGCTTGCGATATAAAAACTTTTTCTTTCTGGCATAGAGACAGAATATGTTTTTCAAATATCACAGACCAAGCCAGTTTCATGCAAATTCTTTTAGAGCAGTTTCAGATTTATGTATTTAATAAAGCTGGGTACTGGGCCTAACTTATGTATTTAATGTCCTTCAATGTACAGTGATATTCTACTGACTGCCTAGAAAAGAATGATGACATTTTATTTAGCGTTTCTGCTAGATCAGTCAATTCCATAAATGGATTTCTAATGGGATACAATATATGCTTTTAATATCCTTCAATAATACTAAGAGATTACATTTATTGAGTTCCCTCTGTAAGCCAAGGTCTGTTCTAAGTATGGTCTATGGATTGTGTCCCATAACCTTAATAACAGTCCTTTCATGATCTGTTTCACAGGTGTAGTGGCCACGTGTGATCTGGTTACACACCTGGTTAGCTAACGGAGCTGGGATACAGTGTGACCCTTAGAGCTCCAAGTGCCAGGGCAGCAGTGGCACCATCATGTGGGAACCTGATACAAATACAGAGGATCAGACCTGCTGAAAAATCTGTGTTTTTTAGAACAAGGGTTCCCAGGTGGTTGCAATGTTGAAATCTGAGCAGTGCAGCTTTGAACTACTATGGCATCCTGCCCTTCTAGTGCAGGATTAAGTATCTTTATATTTCTGTTTTTAGATGGGATGCAGAATTACCATCTTTATGCTAATTTGGAGAATCTCATTATATGTCAAGTGCATTTTGAATGTAAACAGATTTAATAAATGAGCATAACTGGGAATGCTAGTACAAGGGACACCCAAGTTATCATGAAATCAACTCTAGGAAACAGCACAGGAAGATAATCCCAGAACATAAACAGCAAATCTTTCTGTGTGAGACAAACGATTGTTCCAATAGCTACGACTTTCTCAGACTCACAGTGCAGCACACTGTGTTCCAGTATGTTCTCTGGGAGGCAGGCTGGTTGCCTGTTTTGAGCTGGGTGACCTCTGAAGTGTTCCTTAGCCCTCAGTGTCTCGGCTTCTACATCTGGCCAGTGAGGCTGTATTATTCTGCAGGATTGTGAGGAGCAAATGAGTGAGTGCATGTGAAGGATCTTGAACAGGGCCTCTCGTGAGACAAGGGAGCACAGTGCTAACCACTGTTGTTTTAAGTAGGATTCCCATCTTGGGTAGAATAAAGTTATGCCCCGTAGTTCTTGGTGACCTACTGCTAACACTATTTGTGACAATTGGTTTTTATTACCAGAACTCACCACGTAAAGAGATATCTTTGCTATTAGAGTCTAAATCGCAAGCTTTAGTTCCTGTTGCTTTGCAAAATCTGGCTCCTCCTGGCACTTTATGACTGAATTCTGCTAAACGCCATTTATTTGTGATGCTTATTAATCTGTTAAATTCATTGTTGTCACTTTGAAGTGAAAATGGAAGGTGTTGAGAATCTACTGTAATTATGAATATGTGTGCTTATAAATTGATTAAGGTTATAAGGGTGGGGTCCACTTGGTGAACCTGTATAGTGATACAGACAAATTGCACAAAAGAGAGGTGTTTGTGTAAGAGCTGGATGCTCCTGAAGCTGGTTTGTGCCCGTCCTGATGAAGATAATCCTGAAATAACCGCAGTGCTTAGTAGAACAGTGTGTTGGTGTACTAATACTTATTTAACAGCTTTTCAGAAATGCATCTGGTGTTGTGAGGTGAGATTGCATCCTCTTAGAGGTGCTGCTTCAAAAGCTAGTTGGTAAAAGGTGCAGTGACAAATGATTGGTGAAAAGAATGCTCTGGGAAGCATTTCAGTCGCCAATTCCTGCGCCTGCGCCCAGAGAGCTAGGTGGAGATGGAGCTCAGGTGTTTGCCTGTTTAAGCATTGTCTAGTGTTTCAGCTTAAATCTGGACTACACTTTGAGAGACACCTGCAGTATATGCTGAGCTATGTGTTGGAAGAGGACTCTGTTCACACCCAATCCTTTTTGCAAATTATCCTTTTTGATATTTTTTCCCCCTAACTTCTAACCAAAGTTGTGTTTTCTTTTTAAATCTGCGGCTAACCCAAGTTGAATTTTCTTTTTAAATCTTCTTTGGCCTTTTTCTGACCCTCCTTTCATACTTCCCAAACTAGTCCTTAATGTTATGCTTTTTTCTTTGTACCCTTCTCAAAGAACATCTCTTCTGGATTTATCAGTCCTATCTTTACAGATGGTTCCACAACATGATTGCAGTGTTCTCTTTTTTAATCTAAAAATCTCAAAGTCGAACTTAGAGAGGCTGAACTCTATTTAGAAGCTGTGGGAAGCATTTAAGATTGTGTGTATGCTTGTGTGTGTGTGTGTGTGTGTGTGAGAGAGAGAGAGAGAGAGAGAGAGAGAGAGAGGAGGGGGCAGGTTCTTGGGTCAGCAGTGAAGCCTCCATTTGGGACATGCGTCCTGCACTGAACACTGAAGTGTTTAGTTGGATCCTGGCTCCTCTACATCAGTTCAAGCTTTCTGTAGGAATGCACCCTCAGAGGCAGCTGATGGCTCAAATCCTTGGGTTCCTTCCCCTCTCGAAGTGGACCACCAGGGACTTCTAAAACCAAACGCAATACACTAAAATACAGAACAATTAGAGTAGGTATTAACAATAGGTAATGACTTATAAAGCTTCTATTTAATATGTACATACACATATGTAGACAATCCCTATGCATGTTTTTGGTAACTCATGGTCACAGCAAACAAAAAGATGATGATGCTGTTTCCATCTTATTCACCTGCATTATGTGCTTTCTTAGTTAAAAAAAAAATAGCAGGGATGGGAGAGTCTTGTCTCTTCTTATCCACTCCTCTCATCAATCTCATTTTTTTTGTGGGATGCATTTCTACTTCT